CTTCCAGCTCACCACAGAATAAGAAAAACACCACTAAAAGGCACTGGTATGAGGAGAACAGTAAACAAAAACTTGAGGTGAATCCAATATCTTAAAAACCTGATACGCTGCTGTTTTCTACTTCAGAAAAGCACCTCTTTTCCTAAAGGCAGGTACAACAAAAGAATCTTTTTTGGAAGCTCTGATTTTCCTTCCCATGTAAAGAGAGTAGTTATGATCTGGAAATACTGTGGGTCTCAGAAGGAATTTCAGTAGAAGTAGAGAGAGGAGAAAGCATCTGCGCTATAATTTATTAATAAATAACTTTTGATCCTGGATGTTTGTGCATATTTAGACCAGCGCCATCCAACACAGCAAGAATGTTCTACGCCAGTATAAATGCTCTGTAATTACCATTTCCTCCACACCTAATACATGGAGAAATCTACCACAAAATTTAAATATGAATGGAAAATGAGGGGTTCAGGACCATTATTTAGGGCAGGGCTATTCAACTCATGGTCCTCAAGGGCCGAGCCCTGCTGATTTTCCAGCCTTCCTTCACGTGTGAGCCAGGTATGAAGCCTCTGACCAATCAGAATAAGTAATTATTAAACTAACTACCTGGGAGAACTGAAAACAAGGCCTGGATTTGGAATCGAGGGCCTGAGTTGAATAGCCCTGATTTAGGGTAATGTACTAAAAGCATGTTAATTCCCTAGAAGACTCTGTCCAGATAAGAACATAATCCTCATTTGAAAGCACAGAAACTAGCCACAATAAAAATAAAAAAAAACATACCCTAATTGTGACTGTAGGGGTTGGGGGGGTGAGGGGCACAGCTGGTTCGTGCCTCAGCACCCCACCTGCCTCTGCTCCCGTGCCGAGATCCAGGGCACTTATTGGAACAGACTGGAGGGATTTGAAAAGGAAAAAGATAATGATTCTCTCCTGAATATGTAAAATGGAGATTGCAAAAAATAAACATCCTGTAATTTGGAAACTTATTCATTCATATGGGAAGGAAAACAATCACCTTCTGAAACCCCCTTTCAAGATTTTAGTTTTCAGTGTCTGAATGATGTTGTCTACATAATAGAAAAATGTTTAACATGAACAGTATGAAACTGCCAACAACTACCAACTTAATTGAACTACAAAGAAAACGCTTGTGGCTTCTTAGCAGCATGCAAAGGCAGTATCAACATTACCAAAATATAGTGTAATTTCTCTTTTGGACTGACCACTATGGTGGAAAATATCTTATCTTGTGGTCCAGGTTGGCTTTTTTTCTTTTTTTATATAAATGCGGTCATACTGACACCAAATAAGGGAGCTACAGCGGTGCAGCTCATCTGTCCGATTGCAGTGCAGCTCAGGTTCATTACCTGTTGTACATTGGTGGGTTGCGCCATGTCGATGGCACTGATGTCAAATAGATCATTGGGGCTGATCCCACTTTCACTCAAGGCAGCGAGCAGCAAGTCTTGTCCAGGATCCATTTTCCTGGTGTAGACAAAACCGAATCAAAATATTATTTTTTTGGAGGGAAAAAGCAAACACAGTCCATCCAAATTTCATCCATACTCATATATATATATATATATTATTTTTTTACCTGGACTGCTACAAATATTTAAATAACACAGACAGTTTCATAAGTAAATTCAACTTCTACAGCCAGCATGTGGCAGGCTTTTAACTTTCGGGTATCTATATTCCTTAAATACATCATACACGAGGAAAAAAAAAACCATTACAACACCGAATTTTCACAGTCGGAAGTAGACTTCACCACGAAAATAATTCTGAATGTACAAACGACGCCTTTCTGGCTTATATGTGGAAAAGGTCATTCACAGCCGGCTACAAGTGGTCATAACCTCTACCGAAACACGTGTTCGCATGCAAAAACTTCCGGGTTTGAAGTCAGTGCCTAGCTACCAAGGCAACATTTAAACTGCCAAATTGGTACCGATGTATTAGAAGAAAATTAAACCGTTCAAGCCAGATTAATAACGGAAAAGAAAGTGACCAGCTAATTGAAGATTGGGCCACAACTTATCCAGTATTTGCCATTAGCCAACGGATGCCATCGGTTAGTCAGTGTCAAGTAAAAAATTCAACAGAACCGCAATTTCACTAAAACGTCCAGTATATCAAGGTAGATAAATACGGACAGATGTGGGTAAATAAATTATAAAAACTAAAAAAAATAATACGTTTTGGTGATTCATACAGTCTCCCTGCTAACTGGCTAACGCATGCAGCCCATCGGCTAGATAACTAGCAGTATCGCCTCCCTGTGCAATAAATACGATAATTTGCCCAATTTTAACGATCTATCAACTAAGCTGATGAGCGAGTTCAGATACTATGAACAAACCGCGTAGCCCCAGGACTATCCGCCAAAGCTGAGGATTAAACGAGGGTTTCGTTAAAAACTGCCGTCGTATTTAAAAGCACCAATACTGAACAAAAGTCTCACTTAGCTAAGCTAATATAAAGAAACATCACGGAATTGGGGACATCTAGGTGACAACACGGCTTGCCGTGCGCTGCCACCTCGGGAGCCACACACAGTCCCCCCCACCCCGAGTTAGTCGGCGCCGTCCTGCACAGTCACCTCTCAGCGGGCCACACAAAAACAAAACTAACGTTACTCCGCGATGCAGCTAGCTTGGTGACCAAGGGCGCCGGGCTGCTCCCACTGAGAAGCGCTCAACTCCCACAAAATCGGCCGGCAGCTGTCTTCAGACCTCGGACTCCGTGTGGAAGGGAAGTAACCTTACTTACCCGTCCGATCTAGAGGCTTCCAGTCACCGCGACTGATTCGAGGTTGCTGCGGCTGCTGCTGCTGTCGCGCTCCGTTGCTTTCTACCCGACTGTCGCCATCTTTTCCGAGCGAGCGGGGCCGCGTGCGGGTCACGTGACACCCACACCCGAAGGGAGAAGCTGAAAAGAATCGTCCCCGGCAAGCGCGCGCGTCAGTGGCAGCCAAAAAACATTCACACTGCGTCTGTAAGCACACCGGACGCGTCGCCTCGATGAAGGATGCCATTCTTGGTATATCTATCATATATTAAACACATCGGAGAAGCGGAGAAGTAAGCCTTGTTCACGTGACCAGCGGCCCCTTTTCCGGATATGACGAAAGATTTACCCGTTTCCTTGTACGTAAATGATGACACAGCTAAGTAGCGGGATGCCATGTTTGGAAGGTCAAATTACTGACCATGATCAGGTGCTTCATGATAAACATAACGAATGTTAGGCCTACACGATAAAGTTGAATAGACCAACATTTCTTACGGAGCGTTTCTGTCAGTCTGTATTTAAAAAGTACTCATGATATTACTTTACGGATGAATTCCAAGTCACCGCAATTCCAAGTGTTTAGAACTTTTACTTAGGATATTTTTTCAGTACTTGGGAAAGTCTGTAATGCCTCAGACGATAAAAATGCATTTTTAATATGGTACCGCAATTGCACTTTTGCATTTTAGCAAATATGAGCAAACAATGAAGTTTGATATGCGATGGTTATTGTATTTAAATAACAAGAATAGTTTTGTTCCATGTCGGTCCAGAGTTAACTAAATTATCGATAAAGACATATAGTAGGTATTTATTAATGGATGTAAGCCACTAATATGGTGACAGATGATTCTATGGTTTCTATATTTTATGGTTTGTTGACCTTAATTCTTTCAAAAAGCCAGAACACATACACATATTTATGATAGCACAGGATTACAGATAAGCAGCCATCAATCTTCCAGGTGGTTGTCACTTGGGGAGGTCTGGAGCCTATCATACAGCTCAATGCAGGGGTACATCTTGGTCAGGATGCCAGTCCACAACAGGGCATATACAGGCATATACTCATCCACACAATTCACATAACAAAAGATACCTGTATGACTTTGGGGGAACATGCAAAGTCAAATTAGAGGATACATGACATATCAAAGGAGGAAAAAGGTTGACTGGCAATTCTTAACATGAGTGTGAGTTTCTCAGTTTTATAAAGTTATGAGGATACACTGGAAATTCAGTCCCTTGATGCTTCACCAATGCTGTCCTTGTTCTGATGAAAACAACTTACTATATGTGAAAATAAACACTGATAGCCAAGCACATAATAACAAGTAAATCATACAAATCATATGACCAATTGACAGGCTCGTTTACACATATGCAACTGAACCCCCTGGAAATGGACATTAATTGTCTTATTGCTTTAAGTTTTAGAAATTGTTTTCTATTGTTTTTATTGTCTATATTGTTCTTATATTATTATTTTTGCTGATCCTATGGATCCTGTTATACTGTCTTTTTTTATTATTGCTGCTGTTTCTAAGGAATTTCCCCATTGTGGGATTAATAAAGTCAATCTAATCTAATCTAAAAAGAATTACTGAACAAAGAGAATGAACAAAAGAAAGTGAATAAAGGAAAATGTGGAATATACACATTTCGCATCATAATCCAATCAAAATAAGTGTTTTTGATTAAAAACAATGGAACAATAAGCCACATAAAAGGCCATACATTGAAATAATTTAATCATAATTACTTTATTTAGCCATAACTATAAAGGAAGTCATCGAAAATGTAAAGGTTAATTATAAAGGTGAATCAGACTAGATTGTACCATATTGCAGAACACAGATGTACAGAACAAATATCCAACATCCAAGGCTGCAGAACATTTAAATGCGAATAACAATACCTCTACGTTAAGAATGATGACATATTAACTCTTTTTTTTTCATTTACAACATATCCTTCTTTTTTTAACAGTTTCAGTTTTTAGTGAAAATATAGGTGCACTGTATCCCATTAATTCCTACCATAATTAAGAATTATGCTTTTTTAATGTCAAAACATGAATGTCATGGGTTAGCAAGTTCATTGTTTCTGACCATACTACGTCACAGTTATCGGAGCAATGACACAGTCCAGTCTACAGCTCAAACTGAGTGTGACTAAAAGATGAGTCATTAGTCCTCTTAAACATCACCAGGGAGTGGAAGGGGACACCCAGTGAGGATCATCAGCATTTACTGCTGACAAGAAGTTATTTTCGTAGACATGATAAAAAAAATTACAGAGCTCTTACAAACCTTATTTCAGATACGAACATATCACTCATATAGCTCAATGCATATATGCGCCTGAAATGGGCAAAAGGCATCTTATACTGGGGAAGTAGTTTAGTTGCACAGGTGGAAACTCCATAATTGGGATTTTCACTTTAATGAACAGATCTTTTTTTTTTTTACCACAGAATGCGTGTTTACATTAATGCCTAATCCGAGTGTTAATTGTCGACTTCCCTTCCGGTGCGGCTGTTGGTTGTCTGGCGGTGCGTTGTTAGTAAATAAGGGAAATTTATTCCTTTTTATAAAGTGCCACCTTCCTTTTCATTATTAAATCATATGCTACCACACTTAACTACCTATAATATTGTTGCACTTTTTTAATTTTGAAGAATGAACACATGCATGATAATTCCCTTCTGCAAATAAAACAACCCGGAGTGGAAGTGAAAACCAGAGGCATGTAGACATTATATTCGTCGCTTGTCTGCTTAAACGAATCACATCGAAGCAGCGGGACTTCCGACCAATCAACATTTAGGTTGATTTTAAAACGGCCAGGTCCGCCCAAGCCACGGGCTCGTGCAAAATGAGCATCCATGTCATGTCTTTTCGAGCTAACAGAGAAAGAAGTGATAGTTTATGATAATAAACACGGTAAAGGTAAAGGAAATTATAAAGGGTCTTGAGGTCACGTACGTTTGAATATTTCAAATTTGGTAGCAGCGTTTTTATTTATTTATTTAAAGTTTACAGACCACTCGGCTGAAAAGTATTGCTCGTAGTTGCAATGGCAAAAGGTAAGTCACAGCAAGTATTTATATCCGTAGAGACAATTATTGCGTCCGCGGTTTTATTTGTAATTGTATCACTTATGGAAGCACCCACACGTACGTCGAGAATCTGGCTTTTAGATTTGCAGTATAGACTGCCGTTCCCCTGCGACGCCAACAAAGGTTTCTGCTTTTGTAGCTAGCTTCACTGCTTTAGCATTTTATCATATCTAGATTATATTTTATTTTTTTGTCTATTTAGCTGTTGCGTTGGTTGTCACAATTATGTGAATGACGCATGTGAATGTGAATGCTTGCTTGGAAAGCTCGGCAGCTGCTCTGCAAACATTTCCAAATGGAACGTTAAAATTTACCTGCAAAGGACAAGCAAGCACAGTAAATGGATGGCTGGTTACGGCATTCGTATAATTACGTAGGTTTTGGAAACTACTGAAGTGTTGTTAATGTGCCGCTTTGGCAGGCTGCCGCCCTCTCTCGGATAGTAGTGGAACTGCGACCACCTGGGTCCTTTAAATGCTCACGTGGTGCTTCACCAGAAGTTAAAACATGGCGGATGGGAGGAACGATAAAAGCTGCCTCGGTTGAAGAGGGGAAAACACCCTGACGGTGACACTTCTGAGTGCCCGGTAGGCCGAGGAGTACGAAAACCCTTCTGGCAACTGAAGAATGTGTTTTATTTCTTGGTACAAGGCAGACAGAAACGCCTGACTTCGACCAAAGTTAAAGCTGACGACGCTCTTCGCATCGCAGAAAAGGGGACAAAAGAAAACCAACCAGAAATGAACGGGGTATGTGCACTTTTTATAATTGCCATTAAAGTTAAACAGTTGATCATATAATATAGGCGATATCAGGACTGTTAACTATAAATTGATTAATCGGAATTTGAATCTGCGTATAAGCTGAGGTTCTGTCAGTGGTCTGGAAAGCGAGTATGCCCAGGTGGCCATTTAATGCAAACTTTCATGTGGAAATTATGTAATTTGCACGTGAAGTTGCACGTGCATTTGGCATAAAAATTCCGTTTATAAAGTGACTTGTGTGTTGGTGTTTATGCATGCATGGTTCAGTTTTAACTCTAAATGTTCCTGACACATTTTGGCATAAGGGTTTTTAGTTTTGTGTCGCTGAATGTGCTGATCTCCAAGGCATAAAGGAGAATTTACTAAAGGCATTGAGTTACTTTTGTGCACAAACTTAATCCTTTTAGACTTGGCACTGAGTGTACTGTTATGATCATCATTCTGGCAATTTGGAGTAACCAAAGCTGCCTTTAATGACTTCCTTTCTCAGATGCCCACTTTAATTAGCAGGCTGATGTATCCTAACGTCTGCAGTGTCTTTCTAACCACAGCAGATGTCCACAATTAGTGTTAATGCTCACGTTTCCTTTTTGCAGGACGTCTTGTATAACGGTCAGTCTGTGATCCAAAAATTCTTCACCTCTGGCAAGTCCCGCTCCCCACTCCATGATAAATCCCTCCCCCTTGGACATGAGGGGAAGGTTTCTGTGAAGCAAGTGGTCCAAAGTGAAACGGACAGACGAGACGAAGGTAAACAACTGGCTTGTTCGGGTTTGTTTTCCATTCATTCAGTTTGCCCTTGGAGGCAGGAAGATGAGTGACAGCAGTTTCCCTGATGTCCTTTTGAGGAATGTGGATTGTTGCCACATAATATTAATTAATCTGTTTTTAAATGTGTGTTTTAAACCACAAAACAGCTAGTGTAACTCAGCAGGTCTGAGTTAGCACTGTGAACGATTTCCTGCAAGTCAGTGGCCTGAGTTTTCAGAAATGACATCTTATGACATTGTTTAGTGGTGGGTATTTTTAAAATGATCCTCCAAATAAATTATAAAATGAAGCGGTAGGTCTTAAGTATGTTGGAACACTTCCCCAACCTGTGAATGTGTGCCTTGCTCAACCCTGCAGTGAGGCCTAACAATGTGAAATCAGAAGCAGCTGCTACTGCAAGAAGGGGGGGCCATGACAATGAGGGCGAAAAGTGCCTCCCATGCCGGACAGAGGAGCCACAGCCCAAGGAGCCCCAGGGAGAAGCCTCCAACGCCACCACAGAACCCGGGCCTGCTTCTGGCCGTGCTGCTCGGCGCAGGGTTAGACCCAAGAAGTCTAATCTGAAAACGTAAGCAATTCACATCCAGCATGGCTGTTGACATGATTCCTCAGATTCTAGATTTGTTTTGCAGGAGGTGTGTGTGAGAGAGAGAGGGGGGGGAAGAGAGTATTTGTACTGGATTATATATTCTTAATGTTGTGCTTATTGTTCTCTTGTTGCCCTCCCATTTTACTTAAACATTAGGATTTTTTGTTTGGAGGACGCTTTCCTATGAATTAATGTGTAATTGTGATTTGAATTACATTGATACAACAATTATTTGAACTTGATTAACCAACCCCCCCCCCCCATTTATTTTGCTTAACTGTTGCTGATGCAACATCGTGGTATCGGTTACAGACATCGGTGCAGTACGAGTACATGAGCACTGTTGTCGTAGGGGTGCATCAGTAGTGATACTATTTTTGCCTTCTACAGAGCAGAAAGAAAGGAGACCCAGAACAGAAAGGTCACTGATTATTATCCTATAAGGAGAAGCTCCAGGAAGAGCAAAAGTGAGCTTAAGGTCAGTATTGATTTCTAGGCAGAATTTAAAAATTCCTGTACGGTAAGTAGGGATATCCCTTTGCTGCTTTTTCAGGGTCTTCCATCTTTGCTTCTGTCAAACATGTTTTGTCTTTTGATGCACAGCTCATCTGAAGTGTGTTGATTTGTGCCATGATCTATGGGAGTGGGTAGTATGGCAGTTAGTAATGAGCTTGCTGTTAATTACATTAGTACAGTATAGATTCAGGACTAAACGCAGCCTCATTGCAAATTTTTCAGCCCTAAAGTCAACTCATTCCTAAATTTCAGTGTTTTGCTGTGTGATTTGGTGTAACAGTATTGCAACACCATGGCCGCTCCCATGCAGATCAAGTCAAATGTTCTGACTTGAGCAAAAACTGATTTGCTAGAGAAATGGTGAAAGGCAGCAGCAGGATGCAATTAATGCAGAAAGGTCAATGCTTCATGACGGACAAAGCAGCTACCTTAAGGAATTCATCATGAAGCCTGCAAAAAATCAGTGGCCTCCATCTCGCTGTGAGCATCTAGTTTTTCTTTATCTTTCGGCACTCATCTAAATGCTTCACAGCACTAAAACATACTCCACGTACATATATTTATGCATGGCCAAAAGATCTTGATTTATCTATTAAAATTGCGATTTCTCTGGTAACCAGCAAAATCCCTTTAATGTACAATGCAATACACTGACATTCCTATGCTAACCCAGCTATACGTATGTAGCTCTGAGCTTGTTCATATTGTCCATATTCAGACTCTGCTTCATTAATGTAGTTAAAGCCGTTAATCCTTTTCTGAAAGGATCATGCAGCAGCTGCTGTTTGCCTTAATCCAGCCAGATCTGCACTGAAGTGCGCGCGCGTGCGTGCGCGCGTGCATACGCACTAGCCTCTGATGCCATGCTGATGGTCCAAACTCTCTTCTCGACAGTGCAAAGAACAGCAGCACATCAATCACCTGATAAAGAACGGGATTGAAGAAGGCATGCAGGTAATGTGCTCTCGCAGTGGGTGGGCACTGGGGACACAAGCTTCTCAATTCAGCACTTTGGTTCTTTTATACTTTTGTGACGGGCCAGGACTAAGGGCATTAATGTTCAGTCTGGATCAGGTCGTGTGTGTGTGTGTGTGTGTGTGTGTGTGTGTGTATGTATATATATATATGTGTATGTGTGTATTTTTAAAAAAAAAAAAAAAAAAAAAAAAAAAAGCCGGGCAAATTCGGGAAATAACAGGCTGCCTTTCCCACACCCCGGCAGGTGAAGCACATTGAGGGTAAAGGAAGGGGTGTGTTTGCTGAGCGGAGCTTCCAGAAGGGGGACTATGTTGTGGAGTACCACGGGGACCTGCTCCAGATCAATGACGCCAGGGAACGGGAGGCCGCCTATGCGCAGGACCCCTCCACCGGCTGCTACATGTACTATTTCCAGTATCTCAGCAAAACCTACTGGTAGGTGTTTGACAAAACACCCTTGTCTGCCCCTATTTGTGTACTGTGCAATATTTCATTCTCTTCACTCAAGATTGTACAGGGGCTATTGCAGCTGAAATATTAACTTGCCCAGATGCTCTAGGGCAGTGAATAGTGAACTAGTGCAGCATGCTTTTGTCATGTGGCTGACTATCCAGTGTTGCCAGTGTTTTGCTAGGGAGAACAATCGTCACTTAACTTAGTGGCATGTTTACCTTAAACCAACCAACTGATCTCTCCTGCCCCCTCCCCTCCAGTGTGGATGCCACGAAGGAAACCAATCGCCTGGGGAGGCTGATAAACCACAGTAAAAATGGCAATTGCCAGACCAAACTCCATAACATAAATGGAATACCTCACCTGATACTGGTGGCTTCCAGAGACATTGAGAAAGGGGAGGAGCTTTTGTACGACTACGGTGACCGCAGTAAGGATTCCATTGCGGCTCACCCTTGGCTCAAACACTGATGTAATATGTTTACCCTTCCTTTCCTCAATCAGCAGCTGTACTCCAAGAAGAGAGAATCAGCATTTTTTTTTTCCTTTACAAACCATTTTAAAACTGCAAATGGCCTTAGTAAAAGCATATGTGCTTTTTTTTGGGGGGGGGGGTTGCTGGGGCACATACCCAAGTTACGGCAGTCCTTAAACTGTAATGGCATCAACTTTTAAATATTAATGGTAATTTTCCGAAGCAATTTTTATGTACTTTGTATACGGGTAGGTCAGTGACTCCAGCTGGTATAGACCACGCTCTGCATTTTATCAATCTTAATGTTAGGAGGTATGCTTAGCAATAAATTTATGGTTGAGGAAGAAAGCGTGTGTAGCTGGATCTCTTGAAGCCGTTAACTGGAATGAGATTCCTAGGCTGTAGCTTAAAGTTCATCTTAAATTTGACCCCTTCCTTGCCGTGTTGAACCTAGTTATTTTATGAACTTGAACAAGAGCTGTACCTCACACACAAAGCTGTCAAATGTCTAACCAAATGTTTCAAGTGAACTTATTAAAATAGTGCTCCTCAACCTGAATTATTACCCTTTTTTGCCATACATTAAAGCATTTTACTGCAGTCTTCACTGAGTCGTTGAGGCAACCCAGGTAGGTAGGTGTGTGTGTCTTTGATTATTGCTGCTTCAAACCCATCCACACTACAACTAAAGTCAAACTGAACCTCTTGGATGTGGAAGTTAAGGCATTTGGAATGTTTTTAAAAACCAACATTAAAAGTCTACCCTTAAATGGGAGATATGTGCTGGCATAATGACATCTGTTTAGCCCTCTATTGCCAGCCATAGAAAAATTGAGACAATGAAACCCTGCAGTATATGGGAGTGACTATGCTCAGTCAATCACTGCCTGGTTTAACAAATGAACAGTGAACTGATTAAATTTCATCATCTATATTGTAGTTTTCACTGCTTCATTTCTCCCATTCACTGACTACTGCACAGCTGCCATTTTTAATGTATCACCTTTCCAGACGTGGGGACCTTACCAGAAGTGTCCTGCCTCTCACACTGCAGTACCAGCCATCTTTCAGGCCTGTCCTCAGTCCATTTTCAAGGCAATAATGGTAATTGGCACATTGGGTGTCAGCTGATGGATTTAAGAAGAACTCATTGAGCTTAAAGTCCTGCAAGCTGCATTTCCTCATCTGACACGATGCCATCCTGCACTGTGGGCTGTGACGTGTATGTGTAAAAAGTCCAGTTCTGTTAAATCCAGGCTGGGGCACTCACGGTGACGTCTTGGAGCTCACGATGGTTATTTTTTTGTGAAGGAAAACCTGAAAAGGAGGGAGATGGTTTATGCTTCTTAAATGCTTAAGTACACCCTCAGGAACCAGAAACCTAGAACGATGCTTTAGATAAGTGTCTACTAAATAAAACATATATGTAAAACCTTGTATCTATGTCTTTCATCATTAATCCATGTGCCACCCGGTAGTCAACAGCCTCTTTATAGAAATATTTTCATACCCATGACAGAAGAATTTTGTGCCCCCTCCCCCCATCCAGAAATTACTTTCAGAAGTGCAAGACATCCGGATTTTTTAACGCCACAGATGGTGCATAATTTTAGACAGTGTAGATAGTGGCTTGAGGCCATTGTTTAAGTCCCCCGCAAAACCTGTTTGCTCAGAGTCTGCCAGGTTCTCATACCGCACATTGCACGACAACACAACCTACAGCTTTCGAATGGTTGTCTTCTCTTCTTTAGGCCCTTCCTTTGTCTCGATTTTGGCATTTGAGGCCTCGGCTTTTTTGGGTTCCAGGTCTATGTCGGCCATGGATGGTTCAGGTTGGTGCAAAACGCCGCTGTGGACAAACCACCATACTGTATATCTTAGAGATGAGGAACTACAATAAGGACCCTGCATATCAATGTAAAGGGCATTTATCCAGACTACAATAAAGGTTCGATATAGAAATATGTGGCCAAGAGCTTTAAACAGACCTTTCTTCCATAGTAGGTTTCTGCTGAGTTCATACCTTTTATAGAGCTGCAACTCTTCCTGGGCTAGAAGAAGTTGGGTCTTCAACTGATTCCGCTCCTGCAGCACCTCCTTCAGCTCCTCCATGGTGAATCGAGGCCGATTGGGGTCCTTTAGGTCCACTACAAGCTTGTCTGGACCCAGTAGTTGCTGGAAGCGCAAAATACAAGGATCAGGAAATGTTAATTCTCTATGACTACAGGACAGAATGAGTGTGTACCCACCTAGGGGCATTTTGTTGGAAGAATCTCATGCAGTCCAATCACAGATAAAGCGCTGGTATAAATAAACCATTTATCCTTTTTCCTACCAGAAAAAGAATTAACAATGTCCTACTTTCAAATTACATCTGATTACAAGAGACGCGGCTGGCAAGAACCATGAGAATTACCCCGATTTCTGGGCAATGAACGTGACTACTGCAGAGAGCCCATTTACAGCAATGTCATTTCTGAAGGCTTACACAATAAACTGGATTGTCTGTTTGAGTGCAGAAATTCAAGTAACTTCCTCCCGGAACATTACTTAAGAGCCTCACATGTTCTCGATTAAATTATTCACTGCATACTGGACTATGCTCCTTGCTCACTATCACATTGTGGAAATGAAACACGTGTATGCTGCACATGAAACCACCCAAACAATATATTATCCATCCTTCACTACACACAGAAAGAGTGAGCAAGCATAGGATTTTTCTTAAACAACCACTGATTTTACGATTTTTTTGTATGTTCTCTAAATCCCCTGATGGAGGACTCACCGTTCCCTGCCCGTTTGCACAGTTACCCAGGATCCTGTCCAGCTCGGTTTTCAGATTGTCCCTTTCCATTTTGAGCTCTTCCACGGTCAAGCTGTACCGATTCACCAGCGCTTCGAACATCTCCAGCACCCGGACGATCTTGAACTGCAGCTCGGAGACCACGTCGGCCGGCTGGGTGATCTTCAGCAGGTCCCTGCCGATAACATAGGAGATGTCGTACACGTCCTCCACCGTGAGCTGAAACGCGTCCTTTTCAAAAGCCTGAGCGGGCACTGGGTCTGATACATCTTGCATTGTCGCTGCCAAAAAAAAAGATCGGCAAAGAAGGGTGACGCTCTGTAGATTACCAGATTATTTTATTTTTATTAAAGCAGAAGTGATTGCAGTATCTTCCTTTATTAATGGTCAGTAGTGACCCGTTAACTGTCCACTTGGAAAACTTCCTTCTCCGGTTTCTGTTGGTGACTTTTTTTTGTTTTGAGTGACGTGACCGCGGGCCAATGGCTGCGCGGCACCTTTGCGATCCGAACCGGCCGACAGGGCGCCTGCACCGTCCCCGTAGAGACCGGTGAAGCCGCGAGAGCCGTCAGGTGAAAAGGCACGTGATGTTCTCCGAAAACTGAAACTGAAAACGTGCAAATTACTTTGTTTTATGAAATGTTATATCTCCTTCCCCATCACCGGGAATCGGATAACATGGGAAAGTTTATATTAAGGTTTGGATTATTGAGAAAAACACACACATACACACATATTTGTGTTAATTGTATCTTTGTGGGGACCGTCCATTCATGTCTATGGGAAAAACCCTAATCCCAAAATGACGACCTATAACTATACAAGACAAAATACAAGACTTTTGTTGTTTTTGATTTTTCTAAAACTGAATTTCCAAAAAAAAAAACATAAAAATAACAGACTTTTATTACATTGTGCGGACACTTGGTCCCCATAGTGTAATATAGACATGCCTACACACAGTGAAACTTGCTGGGGTCTCAATAAATTGTTGCCAATTTTGCGAGATCATCTGCTATCAAAAAGGGCACTCAGTTAATTCCCCCACCCGGGAATGCCCCTCGCCACCCTTCTGCACTGGTAGCTGGGTTTGGGACTGAATTAGCTGCTATAAGTCATTGATACAATCTTTTCCTCCAGTTCTGATCTACACTGAGTTAGTAACTTTACTTTAATAACGGTATTATGTAATATCGATTACTACAAAACAATTAGGCCTACCTGATTACTGGATAATAGTTATAAAGTTCCCGGCCAGGCCCAGCCCGAAAGAGGCATGTGGGACTGTCCCCAGGTGGGCCCACCACCCGCAAAGGGAACGTCAGGGGTTCGGTGCATTGTGGATCGGGTGGCAGCCAAGGGAAGCCCTGACGGTCTGATCCCCAGCTGACAAAACTGGCTTTCGGGACATGGAATGTCACCTCTCTGGTGGGGAAGGAGCCTGAGCTTGTGCATGAGGTTGAGAGATACCGACTAAATATAGTCGGGCTCACCTCAACACATAGCGTGGGTTCTGGAACCAATCTCCTGGAGAGGGCTTGGACGCACTTTTATTCTGGAGTTGCGGCGGGTGAGCAGCCCCAGGCGGGGATGGGGCTACTGGTGGCCCCACAGCTTGGTGCATTAACAACGGAGTTTACCCTGGTGAACGAGAGGGCTGTCTCCCTGCGCCTTCGGGTCAGGGATAGGTCTCTGACTGTCATCTGCGCTTATGCGGCGAATGACAGTTCAGAGAACCCGGCCTTCTTGGACTCTGGATTCCATAGTTCTGCTGGGGGACTTCAACACTCACGTGGGCAATGACAGTGTGGCCTGGAGGGGGGTGATTGGGAGGAACGGACTCCCTGATCTGAACCCAAGCAGTGTTCTGTTGTTGGACTTCTGTGCAATGCATGGTTTGTCCATAACGAACACCATGTTCGAGCATAAGGGTGTCAGGTGGCGGGGGAGGAAGCCGGTCAGACCTGGTAGGCCCAAGCGTATAGTGAGGGTCTGCTGGGAACGTCTGGCAGAGGCTTCTGTTCGCCGGAGCTTTAACTCGCACCTCCGGCAGAATTCCAACTGCATACTGGGGGAGGTTGGGCACATTGAGTCTGAATGGACACTGTTCCGGACCTCCATTGTGGAAGCGGCTGTACGGAGCTGTGGCTGCAGGGTGGTCGGTGCCAGTCGAGGCGGTAACCCCCGTAGCTAATGGTGGACACCAGAGGTGAGGGGGGCTGTCAAGCTGAAGAAGGAGGCCTACCAGGAATTATTAGCCCGGGGGTCTCTGGAGGCAGCTGACGGGTACCAGCAGGCCAGACAGAACAGGGCTCGGGCAGTTGCAGAAGCAAAAACCCGGGCGTTTTAGGAGTTTGGTGAGGCCATGGAAAGTGACTTTCGGTCGGCCTCAAAAAGGTTCTGGCAAACCATCCGGAATATCAGGAGGGGGAAGCAGCTCCTGGTTCCTACTATTTATAGTGCTGTTGACCTCACCTGGGGACATCACCTGGAGGTGAAAGGAATACTTTGAAGACCTCCTCAACCCTGCCTCAGATACATCTGTGCGCACTGCCTTTGAGACATCTGAGGACACAGAGCCCAAGGGGGCCAGGGTGGACTTGCCCATCACTGGGGCTGAGGTAGCCAGGGTAGTTAAAGAGCTATGTAATGGCCGGGTCCCGGGGGTGGACAAGATCCACCCGGAGTACCTAAAGGCTCTGGATGTTGTGGGGCTGTCATGACTGACACACCTTCTCAACAGCGCGTGGAGGTCAGGGACAGTGCCGCTGGATTGGCAGACCGGGGTGGTGGTCCCCTTATTTAAGAAAGGGGACCGGAGGGTGTGTTCCAACTATAGGGGGATCACACTTCTCAGCCTTCCTGGGAAAGTCTATTCCGGGGTCCTGGAGAGGAGGGTGAGATCGATAGTCGAATCTCGGATTCAGGAGGAACAGTGCAGTTTTCGTCCTAGCCGTGGAACACTGGAGAAGCTTTACAGCTGTACTGGAGGGGGCCTGGAAGTTTGCCTATCCAGTCTACATGTGTTTTGTGGATTTGGAAAAGGCTTACAACCAGGTTCCCCGAGGTGCTCTGTGGGGGGTGCTTCAGGAGTATGGGGTTCGAGGTCCACTATTGTGGGCGATTCGGTCCCTGTATGAACGGAGCAGAAGCTTGGTCCGCATTGCCGGTAATAAGTCGGACGTGTTCCCAGTGCGGGTTGGGCTCCGCCAGGGCTGCCCTTTCTCATCGGTCCTGTTTATAATATTTATGGACAGGATTTCTAGGCGCAGCCAGGGTGTTGAGGGTGTCCAGTGTGGTGGCCTTAGGATTGCCTCACTGCTTTTTGCGTACGATGTCGTCCTGTTGGCATCATCTGCTGGGGATCTCCAGTGTGCTCTGGGGCGGTTTGCAGCTGAGTGCGAAGCGGCGGGGATGAGGATTAGCACCTCCAAGTCCGAGACCATGGTTCTCAGCCGGATACGGGTGGATTGCCCTCTTCAGGTCAGGGAGGAGGTACTGCCTCAAGTGGAGGAGTTTAAGTATCTTGGGGTCTCGTTCACGAGTGAGGGTGGGCGGGATCAGGAGCTGGACAGACGAATCGGAGAGGCGTCTGCAGTTTTGCAGGCACTTAACCAGTTAACTGAGCCAGAAAGCAAAGCTCTCCATCTATTGGTCCATCTTCGTCCCTACCGTCACCTATGGTCATGAGCTATGGGTAATGACTGAAAGAATGAGATCGCAAATACAGGCGGCCGAAATGAGGTTTCTCCGCAGTGTATCTGGGCTCTCCCTTAGAAATAAGGTGAGAAGTTTGGATATCTGGGAGAGTCTGTCCACTTGGAAAACTTCCTTTAGAGAGTAGAACCGCTGCTTCTCCACATGGAAAGGAACCAGTTGAGGTGGTTTGGACATCTGGTGCAGATGCCTCCTGGGTGGCTACCCGGAGAGGTTTTCCGTGCATGTCCTACAGGGGCAAACCCAGGACATGCTGGAGTAATTATATTTCTCGGCTAGCCTGGGAACGCCTCAGCATCACCCCCGAAGAGCTGGTAGAGGTAGCTGGGGAGAGGGAGGTCTGGGTATCTCTCCTGAAGCTGCTACCCCCACAACCCGAACCCTGGACAAGTGGAATGTAATGGATGGATGGGAGGGATGGATGTAGTTATAAAGTTAACAGACTTCTTGCTTTATTAAATGTCACTGCACATGTGTCGCCTAATTCATGTAAATTCTTGTGTAAATTCATGTTGTCAGCTACTGTCATGGACACTGCACACCAATCACACGAAATGTGTTTGTGGCTGGCACACATTTAATGCTTCTCTTTAGTGCCACTCAGGGGTGGATCTAGGATTTTTGGAAAGGGGGGGCGCAGCCACTAGAGCGAGTGCCGTAGGCGCGAATCTATAGGCAACAAAAATTGTTGTTCATGGAAAATAGGGGGGGGGTGTGTGGCGGGGGCGCCCCCCCCTCTGGATCCGCGCCTGCCACTACAAGTCCTCGTCTATCTGCATGGCTATCCATTAGGGGTGTGACATTGCACACCGTGCTGGGCAGACTATTATAAAATAGTATTTAATTGCTGAATACTGAATATACAGTCCTTAATGTATTCAGATTTGTATTCCGATTGAACACTCAAAATGTGTAACTTATTCTGAATAGGCCTACTTTTTGAATATTTCTCAAATACTTTCAGAAATTCATATATAGCTTTTTTCATAAAAACGGTATAACAATTTAAACATTTAAATTAAACTGTGAACTGAAAATGTATTTTAAAGGTCACATCAAACAGTAACTCTGTTTTACTGTTCATAAAAAACTAGGGAAACAAACCTTTTCAGGAATTTTTAAAATAATATGTGGAATATTTGGGAAAAAATGACTTCTTTACATAAATCCTGAGCTGATATGTGTCACACCTTCGCTCCATCCGCTCCCGATGTGTGCCACACCCACCTCGTTACCTCGTGTTCATCCCTGATTGTTCTCACCTGTTGCCTGTTCCGTTTGCCTAGTCTCTTGTATTTAGTCCGAGTCTCAGTCCGTCTTCCCCAGATCCGTCATTGTATTGTTACCGTGTTTGTGAGTGTCTGCCTTCTTGGTCCAATTAAACCCTGTTTACCCGGTCATCTGGCTTCTCTCGCCTGCTTCACCGCTCGCCCGCCCGCCTGTCGTAACAGAATGACGGATCTCCACAACGACTCACCGCTTCGAGCCGAAGATGAGC